GACCCAGCAGCCAGGAGAGGCGAGCAGAGATCAGCGCGCAGAGGCAGCAGGGCGCTCAGGTGGCCGCTGATGGAGCCGTGCCCCACCCATCACCGTCAGGTGGGTGTTCAGCCCATGCAGGTCTCTGCCCACTTCTACGGCCCAGCCAGCAGGGTGGCAGCAGAGCCCGCAGAGCCTGCAGAGCCCTGGGCATGGGCTGGCAGCCGGCACCCCAGGCGCCCTGGAGGCAGCGCACGAGCGGAGCCGCCATGGGGCTGGAGAAGGACACAGGAGGCACCAAGATCTTCATGGCCGAGCATGGCTTCGGGTGCCCCGGGGAGGCAGCTGGGACACTGGGTGTGGTGAGGCCACCAGGACCCTGGGCATGGGGCAGAAGCGGAGCCCAAAGAGCCTGGGTGCGAGGTAGCAGCGGAGCCCTGCATAAAGCATGGGGGTGCTGCAGCACACCCCACACCCCTAGTTGCTGCTCCTACATTTTGGGGGCCCCTGTCATTGGGGGCCCAGTGCTGCAGCATCATATGTTTCAGGGTAAATCTGCTCCTGGATGTGCCTCTACATAGGGGTGAATTTCACTCTCAGATTGTAAAGCACAGTAAAGATACCACTTAGATAAAAATCTCTATACAACTGTAAGATTATTAACATCATAGAAAAAATGGCACCAATATCTAAAGAGACCAATTAGCAATGTAAATACATTTAGAGACTCAAAGTTTTCATGAAGGAACATCTTGTGGAAAGTAGACTGAAAGTATTAGGCTCATGGTGTAGCATAATACATTATTACATTAGAGCAAAGGTAATAATTCATTCTACATCTGGGAGATAATGTACTGGAGGGCAATAAATGGACCACATCAGTCAAGACTGTCATATGAAGTATAGAATTATAATAACCACGTCTATGCTGGGCGATGGCGCCTTCCAGGAAATAGCAATGCGCTAGTTAGCAAAAGAAGCATAGACTTGAATTGAAGCGGGAATATTTGTTTAAAACAAATAACAAAAAAAGTCATGATAGTTGAGTGAATGTGATTAAATCAGGCTGTAGCGTATCTACAATGACTTCATTAAACAACCAGAGTATATGCTAGAGTAAAGCTTCATACATTTTTGGCACCGTGGAATCCGTCCTGTGTTGAATGTATGTATTATTAAACAGGGCGTCACTCAAATGATATACTGCAAAGAAATGCATAAGCCTGTGTTTTGAATTCTATGATATGTTCTCATTGAAACACCAGGATATTTTAAACTCAAAAAGATGAATCTCAAAGCTGTTCTTCACAAATTTCTTTGTAACTAAGTTGTATAAAAGGAAAATTGTGATAAATTCTCAAGAGTCTAAAATAAAAGGTATAGAGGCACCTGACTCACACTGATTTCAATGGAAATCAGGTGCCTAAATACATGTAAAAGTCTGGGCCACTGTTGCAAGATGTTCAGGGTGACAGAGTTTGTTTTGGGTTTGTTGTTGTTTTTTTTTTTTTTTTACAATTTTTCCTGACCATCAAAAGATTTAAATATGATAGAAAGGAAGTTTTGTCTTGGAATGGATTTGAAAAGCTTAGCAAAAATCCTCAAACAGTTGCTTGACTTGGGATGGGATGATTCTATTATTTGTAGACATACTGGATGCTAAGCATTTAAGGATGCAGATTTGCCTGGTACTGATCCCTAATTCAGTGTATATACTAAAGTGTATATGAAAGATACAATCCTTGGGTCTGGCTGAACTATACTTGGTGCAGGGCTTGAGAGGGGTAGGGAAAGAACACTCAAACATTACTGTGTGCCACCCTTATGCCACCAGTCCCCTGGGACCAGTCTTCCTCAGGGCTGCTCCAGCTTGCAACTGCTGGTAACAAATCTGACTAGGTAGGGATTTACTCATGCCAGAGTAACACTCAGATGCCCAGTTAGGGCAGCTTTATGTCCTCTTTGCATTGCCAGAGCAATGGCTTAAGAGGTTAGGGTGCTCTGAATGCTATTCATGTCACCAAACTCCATCACTTCACTGTTACCTTCTCCTCGCACCCGTTTGTTAGTTTTTCACCACCTCTTATCTCTCATCATATGCTTAAGCTGCTGGTCTGTGGGCCCCCAATTCCCAAAAATACCACTGCAATACAAATAATAATTAATAATGGTGTGGTGCAAAGGGGCCATATGGGGGCCCAGATGAGACTCCGTGTCTTTAGCACATAAATATTTCAGAGTCTAAGTCTTTAGTCACTGAGCTAAGAGTTCAACATTTAAAGTCCCTAATCCTGCAACGTGCTGAGCATCTCCTGAAGTAAGTGAGAGTGCGGGGCATTCAACATGTCTCACAATAAAACCCATAGTCTTTAACTGCTCAGTTGTTTCATGTTCTGAAGACATCAGCAGGTATATACTTCTCCTCTCCCTTGTTCTCACTTCCCCCCAGCCTTGTGGCAGCTAGAAGATGTGGGGTTGGAAAGACCTTAAGGTAGAAGGAGGGCAGCAGGGATTCTAGACAGATGGAGGGATTACCTGTGATGGGACCGCAGGTTTCTAAAATGGCTAGCTGCTCCAGTGCTGGCTAATGGCTAACTGCTCCAGTGCTGAAGTCTGTATTTTTGGAAGACTAGAATAATAAAAATGTGCATAAACATTTACATATGTAAAGTGTGAAGGTCATCAACATGTTTCTCTCTCTCTCCCATTCTGTCTTCTCTGTAGCCACCCAAACTTGTGGAAGACAACCAGAGTGGAGAGGGTAGGGGTCTCAACATAAAAGTCTGAGGGAGATAAGAGAGATTTGGATAGTTTCAGGAAGCTGTGGGAAAACGGTGCCAAAAACAGTTCAAGCACTTCACAGCATCTGGGTTTAGTATCAAAAAATACATCTTTCCATTTGATGTATAAATAGAGATATTGACAAGATGCTGGCCTTCATAGGGATATGGATTTCATATGTAGAATCATCCCTTTCCCCCATTAGTTAATGTGATATTTTCTCCATGTAGTAAATCCAGAGCAATATAGAACTAAGGCTCCATTGCTATTTCCTTATGTCAGATAAGACCAGATAAGAGTTTCTTTCCATATTGTACATTTCATTCCATATAGAAACTTCTGCAAAGAACCAAGGGATTATAAGGGTGATAATCTTCCTTTTCCGCTATTTTGAGTTGGAGGTGTGAGATTTGTTTGAACCTAATCACAAAAGAAAAATTGGATTTAAGAGACAGAATTGTTTGATCTAGCCTGGAGCCTAAATAAGAAATTTTAAATTCAGGAAGTGATAAATACCTTTTAATTAACTCCTGCTGGCTCATAATTTTTTAAAAAATCATATAAGAATCTCTTAATAAAGATTTGTATAGGAAAACAGGGCTTCTGTTCAAACAAAAATAAAGATGTCTGAGGCTGAGAGATATATTCACTTTGGTTACTTGTGTATGTGACATAGACTAAGTAAGGGCAACAATTCCAATTTTGATAGATCCTCTATCACATAACAGTAATTCAGATTGGAAATCATTTACCGAGAGTGAGAAAGTGAGAAACAAATATCTACCAAAGTAGAGTCTGAAGGGTAATTAGACTGGAGAATAGTTTGACTACCCTCAGGAAGTGTGACTTCACATTCATATTAAATAAACACAACTTTGATTTGCTAGAATTAATTTTGAAACCAAAGAAGCAAACATATTATTTTTGATGATGCAAAAGTGGATAGCATGGGTGGTTAAATGAATGATGATGATCACATATAATTAAAGCTTATTAGAAAGCAAATAGCTAATCCATTAAGTGCTGCATTTGCTTGTTTAAATTTCTCTTATTTCAATTAAAAGATTAAAGATACATTTTAAAAAGCTTTTCTCATTAAACAATTCTGTTTATCTTTAGGAAAACTAAATAACTAAAAATCAAACAAAAACACAACCATTTTTTCATAGATACAAGTAATTAAAATGTTCCATACAGCCACAAAGCTGTTTGGGGGTTTTGTTCAAAAAGGGACAGTGTCAGGTTTTCGGCTAATCCCAATACAATAAGCAATAACTCTATGCATCTATTTTACATAAAAACCAAACACAAAAGGCAAGTTGACAATTCCAAATATAAAATTATATTATTTAACAACTCAGGTGAGCACTTATTCTTTTTTTCCACTTTACATTTTCAGTAATATATTTGCAGGCCATAAAAGAGCTCTGATTATAACAAAAATTTCTTGACTATCTTATGTTTTTATAAGCAAACTCAGGTTTCAGAGTAACAGCCGTGTTAGTCTGTATTCGCAAAAAGAAAAGGAGTACTTGTGGCACCTTAGAGACTAACTTAGAGACTAAGTTTGTGTGTGTATGGGGGTGGGGGGTGAGAACCTGAATTTGTGCTGGAAATGGCCCACCTTGATTATCATGCACATTGTAGGGAGAGTGGTCACTTTGGATGAGCTATTACCAGCAGGATAGTGAGTTTGTGTGTGTGTGTTTTTTGGAGGGGGGTGAGGGGGTGAGAGAACCTGGATTTGTGCAGGAAATGGCCCAACTTGATTATCATGCACATTGTGTAGAGAGTTGTCACTTTGGATGGGCTATTACCAGCAGGAGAGTGAATTTGTGTGTGGGGGGGTGGAGGGTGAGAAAACTTGGATTTGTGCTGGAAATGGCCCAACTTGATGATCACTTTAGATAAGCTATTACCAGCAGGACAGTGGGGTGGGAGGAGGTATTGTTTCATATTCTCTGTGTGTATATAAAGTCTGCTGCAGTTTCCACGGTATGCATCCGATGAAGTGAGCTGTAGCTCACGAAAGCTTTTTTTATGCTCAAATAAATTGGTTAGTCTCTAAGGTGCCACAAGTACTCCTTTTCTTTAAGCAAACTCAGTTACCCTGTTAGCAGCTAGTTCAACATACAGGTGCACTGCAGTTATATCTCTTAGATACTACTACCCTGTAGCTTTTAACCCCTTATTTATGCACTTCCTAATATACACCATTACATACACTCAATCTTTTTCAGGGAGCTGAATTGCCATGGAAAGATAGATCAATGGATGCTATTTAATCAAGAGAGAGGCACAGAAGAATCTTTATCAGTCAAAACAGAGGCCAAAGAAGAATCATAAAAAGCACAGCTCCAGTTAATTGTCTCATCGTTGACATTAGTCTTGTGCACAATACAACACATTAATTTCCATTTAACTCTTTCAAATGCTTTTGTACTTACAAGTAGCAAGAAAAAGAAAGGCTAGTATGATGCCTAAACTATGACTCTAAATTAGATACTGTATTTCATTTTTACTAAAAAGAAGGAAAATGACTGGAACACAATGACTTAAGGAAGAGGATATGAAGTTTTATTCTAACATTTTACAAAAGAATCCTAAAATCTGGCCCAGATCCACAAAGAAACGTAGGCACAGAAACTCCAGATTTAGGCACTTAAATATTGGGTACAGGTGCCTATGTCCCAGTTTTGGCTTCACTGTGATCCACAAAACTCCCCCCAAACCCTGTAAGTGTCCGGAGTGAGCACCTTCAGCTGAGCCTGAGGACAAGTCAGCCCAACCACCAAGCGTATTAATGAACTCAACTGCATTGCAGTCAGATTGCTTGATTGGCCAGCCCACCTGATTGGCCTGCTTTTAAGCTCAATAGCAGCAAACTGCTGGCTGCTCAAAGCTTTGGCTTGTAGCTATGGTTGCTTTTGTTCCTGTTCTGCATGAGTGCTGGTCTTGATTCAGCCTTGTTCCTGACTCTGGTTCCCACTCTTGGCTCTGGTTTCTGGCCCCCTTAGCCTGGTTCTATTCATTGAGCAGGACTGTCCCCCTGACAGTAGGTGCCCAAACTCACTCAGGGCCTAAGTTCCTGCTTCACTCTACTGTCCAAACACTGTCTCCCAGATAATTCATAACCTGGGGAAAGATAAGCATTCATCCACCTAAGTTGCAAGTGGGGCCTGATCTGCTAGCTGTGCTCATAGGCTACCTATCAGGTCATGTTCTATTCAAAATCTGGCCAGAACAGATAACTTATAGTCCAGTGGTTAGAGCACTCACCTGGGATGTGGGAGACGCTGTGTGAGGGGGAAGAAGGGTTTTCAACAGGGGTCACACGCACTGCTTGGGAAAGTGCTCTAACCACTGGGCTATGGGATATTTTGATGTGAGGCTCCCTCACTCTCTCCTGTTGAAGTTGTTCCACTGTGGATACATACTTAGTCACTGGGCCAGAGAGATAGACAAAATGACTCTGTCGTCTAGTGCTTAGGACATGCACATGGGAATCTGAAGGCCACTCCTACTGCTCCATCCATTCATTCATTCACTTTCCACAGTGGAACAGGCTTGACAGGAGAGACTGAGAAAGCCCCAAATCAGAATATCCTATAGCTTTGTGGTTAGAGCATGCGCCTCAGAAAGGGAAGACCTCTGTTCAAATCCTTACTCCCACCTCAAGTAGAAAGGGGTGAATTGAATTTGGTTTTCCATGTTGCAAGTGAGTGCGCTAACTCCTGGGCTTAGAGCGATAAGGTGAGCAACTCCTCCAGCTGGTTTGTGTGGGGCAAGGGAGACACCTTGCTCACTTCCCCAACAAATGCCTTATGCCCTGGAGGGTAAAGCTGCATGGCAATAAAAGACCCATCGTTGGACTGGGTCAGTTGACTTGGGTTTGTGAGGTGCCAGCTGTAGGTCTAAAAATCACAGTGTAGACATTCAGGCCTGGGCTTTGAGACCTACCCACCTTGTGGGGCCTTGGAGCCCAGGCTTCAGCCCAAGCCTGGATGTCTACACTGCAATTTTTAGACCTGCAGCCTAAGCCCTGTGAGCCCAAGTCATCTGACCCAGGCTCTGAAACTGAGTGCCATGTGTTTTTTATTGCAGCATAGTTGTACACTTAGCTGCCTGACTCCAAGGGGCAGGTTCCTGTTCCTGGGTCGCTAAACTGAGATAGGCACATCCTTGCAGCAGGAACTGAGTTCTCTCGATCTGTGACAGGGGTGGGACTTAGCATACACCCCTCTCATTGGCATCTCCCATTGGTCAGCTTAGGCTGCTAGCTTTGCACACTTTTGTGGATCATATTCTAAAACACCTCCCTCTCCCCATTCATTGTATAGGGAGTCTAGATGCCTAACACAGAATTTGCAGATTGTGGTGGTGTTCCAGTGATTTTCTATGTGCCTATAAGTTAGGCATTACAACACTTAAGTCCCTTTGTGGATCTAGGCTTTAGTACTTAACGGACCGTTGGTGCACTATCCAGCACCATCCTTAGATCAGTTCTAATTCAGAGCCTTACTGTTAGCCCAAAGATTGTAGTTTGTGAAGAGAACACCTGTAGCCAGAATTATCTGATCTAAAACCATTTCCTCCTCAAATGCTCTTATTGGGCCCAGTTCACTGTTGCACTGCACTTTGTGTAGTCATTTATACCAAAGCAAAGTGGGTGTACCATTGTGATCTGCATTTACTTTTCACAGGCATTAATGATCCCACACGCTAGAAGTAGTGGGGGATCAAGCTTCAGAATGTTATTTAAACTACTTACTGAAAGAAATGGCTAGTAATGTTGAGCCTTTCCTTGATTATCTTTGTCATAAATATAAAGGGAAGGGTAACCACCTTTCTGTATACAGTGCTAAAAAATCCCTCCTGGCCAGAGGCAAAACCCTTTCACCAGTAAAGGGTTAAAAAGCCTTACAACTCCTGTAAAGTAGTAAGTAATCTAGCTAGAAAATGCATTAGATTTTCTTTTGTTTAATGGCTTGTAAAATAAACTGTGCTGGAGGGAATGTATATTCTTGTTTTTGTGTCTTTTTGTAACTTAAGGTTTTGCCTAGAGGGATTCTCTATGTTTGGAATCTGATTACCCTGTAAGGTATTTACCATCCTGATTTTACAGTGGTGATTCTTTTACTTTTTCTTTCATTAAAATTCTTCTTTTAAGAACCTGATTGATTTTTCATTGTTCTTAAGATCCAAGGGTTTGGGTCTATATTCACCTGCACCAATTGGTGAGGATTCTTATCAAGCCTTCCCCAGGAAAGGGGGTGTAGGGCTTGGGGGGATATTTTGGGGGAAGACATCTCCAAGTGGTCTCTTTCCCTGTTCTTTGTTTAAAACGCTTGGTGTGGCAGCATAGGGTTCAAGGACAAGGCAAAGTTTGTACCTTGGGGAAGTTTTTAACCTAAGCTGGTAAGAATAAACTTAGGGGGTCTTTCATACAGGTCCCCACATCTGTACCCTAGAGTTTAGAGTGGGGAAGGAACCTTGACAATCTTACAGTGAGGATTTAAAGTATTCAACCTCCATCTCATGCTTGGTCCACCAGGGCAAAGCTAAGCGAGTCAAGATTCACCTTATGAGTAGGATAATCAGATAACAAATTGAACCAACTGTTTGATCAATCATTCCACAAACTTAATAGATTCCATTCTGGAATAGGTTTTATGCATGGCATGTGTGAGTAATACCTATGCAATGGCCCTGGGGAGAAGAGTCCCTTTAGATATCTGTCAGAAGCTGAGTTATCTCAGATATAAATCTATCCATAGCTTCAGATGACCAGCAGTGTGCAGTAAAAAGAATAATCCTCTCCAAAGAGAAGGTTTAAACTACTGTACAACATAAATCAACTTTTGTAATAAAAGTCAGCAGCCATTTTTAAGGTTCATAATCTTAGAAGAAAATAAAGGAAACTCCTATAAATAAGTACTTTAAAAAGTCTAATGACATGTTAGAAAAGGTACTAAGTTATCAGAAAGAATTAATGTGTTATTATCAAAGTATTAATTGTGGATCTCTGTTTTACTTTCCATACATATTTTGGAGGGGGACCTGATGGCTCAGAGTATTGGTAATGGATTGAGGAGACTTTTAACTATCACTTTAACCCCATCAAGTGTTACTAATAACCTAAGGCTACTAACATCTAACAGCTGTTCAGTGACCTATGTGAAATGAGCTTGGTGGCCTCCATCCACTGTCTGTAGGAAAGTCCCCTCCTCCTCCCCGCACATGTTTGATACGAAGGCTTGGTCTACACTCCCAATTTATGTAGGTACAACTACATCACTCGGGGTGTGGTTATACTGACCCGGTGTAGACAGTGCTATGTTGACAGGAAGGCCTCTCCAATCGACATAGCTACCACCTCATGGGGAAGTGGAATATCTACACCAATGGGAGAAACTCTCCCATCAGCATGGGTAGCATCTTCATTAAGTGCAACAGTGGAGCAGCTACACCACTGTAGCGCTGTACGTGTGGATAAGCCCTAACTACTAATCTTATTGGCAATCTTGGCAGTGAAATCAAAGTTTCAGTGGGCCACAGTGAACTATCCTCTCACCCCTCCAGAACAGTCTTGAGGCACATTGGAAGACAGCATAGGAAAGCTCACACTCTTACTGCCTGCTGTGTCTGTTCTGTGGATAAACAAAAGCTTTTAGTCACCAGGGCTGTTAGTGCACCATCTTTCATCAGCACTAAAATTCACACACAACCATTTCATGGAATGTGTACCATGTGTTTTGCAACCCCATGACCAGAACTGTCTGACTCTTATGTGAACAGAGGACAGTCTCCGTTTTAATTTAAGGGGTGTGTGTGTGTCACTTTTTAAAATAAGCATGAAAAATGTCATCACTGTCTCCCAATATTAACTGTCTTTAAAATGCAATCTTTGATGCGTTACCAAATGGATCTACTATGATAAAGGGTTTCCCTTTTCTCTTTCACAGTCTCACACTTCCCAGGCTGGCAGATGCTCAGCATACTGCAGAGGCAGCACTCAGCCACTAGAAGAAGGGAACTGCTTCATATTACTCAGTAGCAACCCCTTTAGCTGATTTAAAGCTTTTGTTAAATAAACTGTGATCACTAACCCGCAAGCCTATGTTAACTAACTCACACTCTCATTCTGAATGTCCTACAGGTCTTGGTGTGAACTATCTTTAGTATTGCACAATAGGCGTTTTCTGAATGGCTGCTAATAGTGTTATAATTGTTATAATAATAGTTTATTGTTATTATTATTTTTTATCTTACAGCAGTGCCTAGAAATCCCATGAGATCAGGGCCCGCTGCATTAGATACTAAAAGACAGTCAGTCCCTACCACAAAGACCTTACAATTTGAATAGACAAGACAAAGGATGGGGAAAAGGGAGTACTATTATCAGCCTGGTTTAAGTGTGTCAGTATTTTCCCATGAAATACACATGTATTACTTTTCCTCTTTCTAAGTTAATTTCCATTTCATAAGTACAAGATAGTCCCATACTCACTGAGTTTCATATTACATCCTGGTAAACCAAGTTCACTGAGAGATGCATTCAGGCCCTGATTCAAGAAACAATCCCTATTCAGGACAGACCAGTGGGACTTAAATTTAAGTGTTGTGCTGAGCATGGATGGATTAGCAAATGCTTTAGTGCAGTGGTTCTCAAGCTACGGGCTGGGCCAGTTTGTTTACCTGCCGCATCCGCAGGTTCGGCCGATCGCAGCTCCCACTGGCCGCGATTCGCTGCTCCAGGCCAATGGGGGCTGCAGGAAGGGCAGCCAGCACATCCCTCGGCCCGTGCCACTTCCCGCAGCCCCCATTGGCCTGGAGCAGTGAACCGCGGCCAGTGGGAGCCGCGATTGGCCGAACCTGCGGACGCGGCAGGTAAACAAACCGGCCCGGCCCACCAGGGGCTTTTCCTGAGCAAGTGGCGGCCCTAGTTTGAGAACCACTGCTTTAGTGCTTTCCTGAACTGGGGCTTTACTGACTATGGTCTGGCTGTCAGAAGTACTGAAAGACAAGTGGGGGTGAGGTAATATCTTTTACTGGACCAACTTCTGTTGGTGAAGAGACAAGTTTCTGAGCTCCACAGAGCTCTTCTTCAGAACACACACAAACCCCATCCAAGTCCACGGGTCTACAGGTGCTCATCACCTTGGAAATCTGGCTATATATTATTCGCTACCCAGAAATGTATTCAGATTTGTAGGCCTGCTAGCTACTGTAATTTCACATAAACCATAAGTGTGCAGTCAGAGTAAGTCTGTTATGTAAGCAAAAGCCATTGAAAGTGTGTAACTGCTGGCCTCTGGTATCACTGAGGGAAGGACAAGTGTCTTGATTAGCAAAGATTTGTTCTTGTACTGATATTTCAACAGTGCTGGAGAAAAGGGAGGAAATACAGGTCATCCACAAGTGCTGTGATTTCCAGCAAACCTGCATTTATACAATGCTTCAGATTCTGTGATTGTCGTGGCAGTTTCCCTCCCTCTCTCTTGAGGTCTGATTCTACAACCCTGATTTACAGTGACTTCAATGAAAATAGTCACAAGAATAGGTGCTGCTCAGCAGACACAGGGCTGCAAGGCCTGGCTCTTCGTATTGAACATCTGGTGTGCCGCCGCTGCTCGCCTCCCACTCAGTTGTGTTATAATCTGCTGACAGTCCAGTTTGAACCGATGGGCAACAAGCATAGGCTTCTTTGAATACTACAGTAAAGCTCAGAACACCTGAAACTATATATGCACAAGGAAGAGCCTCTGCCGGAGGGTCTAAACTGTAAAGCAGTTGGAAAAGCCATGATAAATCCCAGCACAGGATTTTTTGCTTGCATCTCATTTCCAATGGAACAATACTTTCTTTCCAAGACATATTCCACTTCTTTTATTTTCCCATGACACTTCCTGCATCATTCAGCCTCTCCGTTCTTC